CATGTTCCTCTTCATCTTTTTTGGAATCTGATATACATATTTTTACTGGTATCACTTTTATACCCACTGTTTGGGTAGTTACCCTGGGCCGGGGTAAATACCCGGATAAATACGAATTTTAGAAATACCTACCCGCTGTAATACCTACCCGGTATTTACCCAGCGCCCATCACTGGTGGCTAAGGAGCTAAAAAGCAACATAACCTAAAAAAAAATCGCATGGCGGTCGACAAGAAACAAGGCAAGTTGTCTTTAAATGTAACGGCACCAGAGAAATTCAACTTCTCAACCCCAGAGGCATGGCCACAATGGAAGAAACGTTTCCAGAGGTACATAGCGGTCACAGGTCTAAATAGTGAGCCAGACAGCGATAAAATAAATATACTACTATATACCTATAATAGGAAAAGAAAGCGAGAATGTGTTGATGCAAATCAAGAAACAACCAGAAACGTATGAAGAGGCTTTGAAGGGATTTGACAAGTACTTCATACCAAGGAGAAATGTTATTTTCGAACGGTTTAAGTTCAATTCTTGTATACAAAATCCGGGTGAGAGTGTTGATTTTTTATCACTAACGTACATACACTTGCAGAATATTGTGAGTTTGGAGCGTTGAAGGACGAGCGTTGAATTCGAGACCGTATAGTGGTGGGCATGCTTGATGTTAAAACCAGTGAACGTCTACAGCTTCAATCAAACCTCACGCTGGCAGATGCAGTTTTGGCAGCAAAACAAGCAGAAATACAGAGTCAACAGAATCATGTATTGAGAGCAGAAACCAAGAACGTCGAAGTTCGAGCGATTCAAAACAAGAAATTCACCGGTTCAGTAAAGAATCGAGGACAAAATGGTTCCGGGAAGCAGTGGGGCTCCGAGAAACAAAGCTGTTATCATTGTGGAAATAAACGTCATCCCAGAGAGAAGTGTCCGGCCAAAGATTCTACATGTAATAAATATAAGAAGTTAGGATATTAGGGTAAGATGTGTAGATCAAAAAAATCAGTGAAATTTGTAGAATGTGAGAAAGGTACAGACAATAATGATAACGATTCAAACAATTTAGAACATTTTGTGGTTAAGAAATAGTCGAGACCGGCGCGGGGAAAGTCTGAGACGCTTGTATAAATGTCACGTAACAACCCGAGTCTTAGAAAAACTGTCAAAAAAAGGAAATGTCTTACGGTTCTTGTAGAAATCTTTCAGAAGTTCTTCGAATAGAAAATAAAAGCCGAAATACTTTTAACGAACGTATATTTGAATTAACGCAATTGAAAATACTTTTAACGAAAATTGACCGGAACGATTTATTGCACTTTTAACGTCAACAACAACTCGAGAAATACGAGAAACATGTGAATAACAAAAACTTAATAAATACGGAACAGCCGACTAATAACTAAATTATACAAACTTTGAACATTACCGCCCGCGTTGCTGAATGGCAACAGAAAATTAAAAAAAAAAAAATTATACAAAGTAATTTGAAAATTGACCCTAACTGAAATGATGACAAACTAAATAAGAAAAAATGGCCGCAGGAAAACAAACTTTTACATTAAATAAATTAATGTAATAATTAGTAAGAAATTAACAGTACAATGTAACTGAAATGAAATTTGAAAAAATAACTAGAATTGACTAACATTACTAATTTGCACAATCTGGCAAAATGCTTAACTTAGTGAACGGACGAACAAGCGTTGAACTTGCGGTTTTGAGCGTTGCGACGCGAGCGTGACCATCGGCACCGGACTGAATTTTAAGAATTCTTGCTAGAGACCATTTCGCCGAAGGTAATCTTTCATCTCGTACTCATCCGAGATTGATAGCACTGCCTCAATTTGAATCAAAACGGCGTTGAATTCTTCATACGTAAGAAGTGTCGATCCGACAACTTTTCGAAGGTGGCCTTTAACGGATTTTACTCCGGCCTCCCACTTTCCACCGAAATGTGGTGCTCCGGGAGGATTGAACTTCCATCGGGTGCCGTCGCAGTTCAAGAGACTAGCCATTTCTTTCCATTCTTTGAACGCTGTAGAAAACATGGAACGCAGCTCACGGTCAGCTCCAACAAGATTCGTGCCACAGTCGCTGTAGAGGCATTCACTGATACCTCTTCTGCCTGAAAATCGCTTGTACGCAGCAGGAAATCCTGAAGTTGAATAATCTGTGGCTAAGTGGACGGCTGAAGTGGCTAAACAAACAAACAGAATAAGGTAACCTTTATACGTCTTACTACCACGTCTTCGGAGATGCTTCAAATGAAAAAGTCCGGCGTAGTCAATACCGGTGTGTAGAAACGGGCGGGATGATATGACTCTTGAAGGCGGAAGTTGGGCCATCAACTGCTGGCTGATGACTGCTCGTTGTTTCGCACAAATCATGAAATCATACATCGATGAATGAAAGTAATTGGCGAATCTTTTAGAAGAATGATTGTATGGTTCTCATTCCAATCCAAATTTGAAAATCGAAGGCGCCCGGTCATTCGTAGAAAATCTTTACCGTCTATGAATGGAGAAAGTCAGAGAAGAGAACTTGAACGTGGCACTATACGGCCGTCCGTTAGAATTTGATTTCGTCCGAGAAATGAAGTTGTTGACACTCGCGCACCCAGAACATTAAAGAGTCGTTCAGTTCATCAGGAGAAAATATGTCTGAAAACTTTGAATTATAAGTACGAAGGCTTTCACGGCCGGTGTTAATTAAACTAAAACTAGAACTAGACTTCGAACTTGTTTCTGAAGAATGTTGCAACATGGCATCCGAAATGTCAAACATTTTTTCAAAAAACGCACGGCTTAACCCGAAAGTTTCTAGTTCTAGGTCTAGTGTTAGTTCTAGTGATAGTGCTAGTGTTACTTCTAGTTTTAGTTTAACTTTGAATTAGTTTTTACTTTATGAAAAAATCTCTTACACCAAGCAGTGACTCGCAGAAGCTTGTTCAACGACGAATATTTCAACTTTAAATCCCATCCTTTTTTCATAGCAGTTGCGGTGTTGGATGTATGAATAGAACGTGCTTCTGAAATTTCTTTGGCATCTGAATTGGGGCGAAGAGATGGCCATTCTGTGGCCATCTCTCGTTACATTTAAGATGGCTTCTGTGAGCGAAGCCAAGACGGTCCATTCTACCATAACGTTTCGGCTACAAGTTTCGTCATTGAAACTCCACGGGAAGACAAATCGGCCGGGTTTTCTTTCGTCGGAACGTAGCGCCAATGAACATGAGAAAGCTGAATTTCTCTTACTCTATTCCGGACGAAATTTTTCCATCTTGAAGGATGACTGCAGACTCAAGAAAGTGCCACCGTAGAATCGCGCCATAGAAAAATTGGAACTTCGTTGAAATCCAGTGTTGCTCGAAGGCGTTCTATCAACCGAACTAACAACACGGCGGCGCACAATTCAAGTCGCGGAATGGTTACGCGTTTAAGAGGTGCCACTTTCGTTTTAGAAAATAATAAGAGAAACGCGAACATCATCAGCTCTTGAAACGCGAAGATACACTACCGTACCAAAGGCACTAGTCGAAGCATCCGCAAACCCGTGTAATTCAATTGAAGAACAATCACGAGAAATTTCAAGCCATCTCGGAATGCGAATTACCGGACACGTTTGAAAAGAGCTAATGAATTCGTTCCATTGAAGAGAAAGGTCATGCGGAAGGATTTCGTCCCATTAGAGATTACAAGTCCACAAATTTTGCATAAAAATCTTCGCAGTTGCAATGATCGGAGAAAGCAACCCGAGGGGGTCGAATAAACGCGCAATGAATGATAGAACGTTACGCTTAGTAAGTTCCCGGAAGTCAAAATCGTCATTATTGAAACAAAATAGAAATTCATCGATCGAATTGTTCCAAAGAATACCCAATGCGCGAGGGGAATTGTCATCTTGAACACGCAGCGTTTCTGTATCGGATAGAAGGTCTGAAGGAACATATGCGAGCGCTTCTGAAACATTTGAAATCCACTTTTGCGCTAGGAAACCGCCCGCCGTTAAAACTCGATTTAATTGAAAGATTAATTCTTGAACTTCATCAATGTCATTAGCACCGGAAACGATATCGTCCACGTAAGTGTCGCGGAAAAGAGCAGAAGAACCGAGAGGCTGCTCTTCAACATGTTCTTGCGCTAACTGTCGAATACAACGAATTGCGAGATACGGCGCGCATGAAAGTCCGTACGTTACCATTGTCAGTTCGTAACTTAGAAGAGCTTCCGAAAGATTTTCACGCCAGACGATTCGTTGAAACTGCCAGTCATCTTGATGAACGTCAATCTGACGATACATTTTCTCTAAGTCACACGCGAACGCGACGAGATGGCGCCTCCACCTTAGAAGAACATCAACAAGTTCACTTTGAAGTTTCGGACCAGTATGAAGACAATCGTTTAACAATAATCCAAATGATGTTTTTTGTGATCCATTGAACACGACACGAAGCTTAGTAGTCGTACTAGATTCGCGAATCATTCCGTGATGCGGAAGATAGAAGTTGGGTGATTCGACTGGCACTGTATGTATGTAGATTCAGTTTCTTCACAGCACTTAGGCCCCAGCGTGCCCTTTGTACGTCCCCACAATTTACTGTTCATTCAAGGGCCAGAAAACCAGCCCAATCTTTTCATGAACGTTAATATAGAACAGAAAGGTATGTTCCTTATATCCGAAATTTGGAGCCATGGTACTCCGAAAATGGATTCCCTTAAGTACGGGAGGTTGGGACAGTCACAAACAATATGACTTACCATTTCGTCTTCCTTTTCACACCCTCTACAGAGGGGTGTATTCGCCAGCTTCATGTAAAACATGTGCTTACGTAACCTGCAGTGTCCGGTCAGGAAGTGGGTGAGAAGCCTCAAGTCACTTTTTGATTTTCCCAGAAACTGAGTAGATCTCTGGCACTGTAACGGGACGCATGTGATTTAAATCGAGATATTCGCGCATAAACATGCTATACGTGATCTTGAAGCTTTCATCCCGCGCGAATCTTAACTCGGAACGGGAAAAAAACGAAACTTTCGAAATGGTAAACGAACAGTAAAACGTCCAGAGCTGTCACGCAAATGTAAATTGACGAAATGTTTTTCACAATCAATTTCGTCGGTAGATAAACACGGCTTAGAACTTGATTTTTCTTCTATCGTCCAAAACTTTTGCATTAAACCCGCGAATTCACGATCTATCGAACACTGAAAAACATACGGGTTGAAGTTTGATTGTGATTGATTCGACAGTACGCCGGAAAGAATCCATCCAAACGCGATTTGTTGGACAATCAAAGAACCATCACTACTTCGTTTAACACCATTTTTAAGAATTTCAGAATATAAACTCACACCAAGAATCAAATCAATTCTTTTTGATGATGAAAGAAATTTTAAATTTATCAAATAATTACAGAAATATTTATTTAGTCTTTCGTATCCACAACATATTACGCTATTTATAGCGAAATCCACCGGAATAACTTCTGGTATAGCTTCGCCATCCAACAAACATGATTTCAAAATTCCTATTCCACCCGCTAGAAATATTCCCATCGGACCATAAAAATTATCCACCCAACCAGGCATTGGTTCAGACAAAGAAGGCACAACTAAAAATAAACGATGTATTTTTTTCTTCTCTAATAATATCAAACGTACCAATAGATGGTCTCGGTATTATTAATGGTACTTTATCACCCATATCAACGGCGATTATTTCAGCAAGTCGTTTAGTGAACGTATAAGTATTTGGATGAGGACCTAATAACCTTTTAGTAATAGCATTTAAGCACTTTTCATCCATCCACTCCACCATATCGACAATCTTGTATGGATCAACGTCAATGGGGTACACTTTCTCCTCCATATTCTCAATTTCAACGTTGCAATAAGCCGTGGATAAATGAATAACCGACTACAGGAAGATTTTTTTTAACAATTTAACATAAATAACATTTTAAACATACTTGCAAATTTTTCAAGTTCATACAAAATTTAAACAACTCATTAGTATTTGTAATAACAGCTTCTGTTAATGAAAGGTCCATTCGAACAGAAGCGGCGAAATGAAACACAACGGATACTTCATCAATTAATTTTTCCCTATCATTTATGGACATATCAAAACCTTCTTTGGTTATATCGCCGCAAATCGCTTCAATTTTTTCGTTGCGTTTTGCATTTAATTTATTAAAGGTGAATATCTTTTTTGAAAAAAATCGATTTATTTGCTGAAAATAAGAAATTTTATTTTTAAACACTTACGGGGCCGTCCGCTAATTGTTTAACTCTTAGTTCGGGGTTGTATCCTTTTTTTGGTCGCAATAAAATGTAGATTTTCTTAATATCGGGTAATCTGATTAACTTTTCTAAAAGAACTTTTCCCATAAAACCCGTTGCTCCCGTTATAAATACGGTTTTTCCAGTGTAAAATTCAACAACTTGACTTTTCATTTTTTATATATTTCGGTATTCAAATAGAAAATAAATTTCCTAATAGAAATTTCCCAGGAAATAGCCCGCATTTATATCTAACCGTTTTAAATCATGTAAAATTATTATAATTTATGATATTTGTGACTTAGCATTAAATAATGAGAGAATTGAATATTAACCATCGATTCAAAAAAAAGGAAATTTTAATTCAATAGAGGAAACGTACAGGACGTTAAAATAATTATACATACATACAGGATTTCCCAAAAGTAACGAATAAATTCGTTAAAACAATTATAACGCCGTTACGTACCGGAATCAACAAAAAAAATTTTTGACCAAGATGGTTTTCCCTTAACCCTTCCGTGCCAACCCAAAAAAATGAAAACACCGCCGAACCTCAACCAGCACAGTGAAGACGGGGAGGTTCGTTAATTTATATCCGGCGCCACGTAATTTATTACAGCGATGTCCATCAATTACGAAATGTAGATGTTCAGGAATAGGAATAGGCACACAAGGATCACATGTACAAAATTTCTATAAAACACCTGATATTACAAAAAAAAATAATTTGGTTTATTAAAAACAAAAATTGAATTGTAGAAAGAAATTGAATAATAAAAAAAATGAAGAAAAAAAAAAAATGAAGATTCGAAAATATAAACTAAAGTATTATAACTTATAACTCAAATTTAAATAAATGGGAAACCCACTGTTTTGGGAGACGTTAAAATTAACTTTAAAATGAAAATAAAAAAAAACTGTAGAAAATATTCGGTAATAAAAAAAATTCAACAAAAGAAAATTGAAACAAATTGATCCAGATACGTTTTGTATAAAGTACAAGCTTGTCTTTTGAAACGTAGTAAAACCAAAAAAAAATTCGACGAGAAAAAAAAAATAAAAAAAATCACCCCAAAATTTAGATTTTACCCTTACAATCTGCAATAATTTATTTGCAAGGTAAGTAAAATTTTTAAATGTTTATAGTAAATTCTCAAATGTAAGTATTATTAACTTCTTTTTTTTTATAGCGATTCAACACATTAATGAACACAAAATAACTTTACATATACGTTCTGACCTTGATACGGGTAAGATTCTTCTTTATGCAGCGATTCCTCTGGAGAGGGAAAGTATTCGGAGTCGGCAGAGGGGTGGCACTCCACCATACAATTATATTATTTGATTCTTTTTTTTTCTTTTGGAATGGAAAAATCCCAATGTAAAAATCCAAAGAAACTATTCCCGGAATAATAATATCCCAAAATAGGAGGCCTAAAAATTAGTAAAAGGACGATACAAAAAATAAAAAAGAAGGAGAAAGAGAAGAAAGAAAAAGAATTGTTAAATTATTAAGTTAAACAAATTTTTTTTTTGAATTATCAAATATTATAAGTATTGATTGTGTCTGAATAAATGATTGAATGATTAAATTTCTATTAAATTACTATCACATACCTCAGATGTTAAAGGCCTCGCACGTGTGAAAAGTAAATCGACTCAAAACGCAAAATAGCCGGGTTAACCGTAAGAAAGAACTTAAACTTGTTCTCAAATAAATTGTCGATGTGATGATCCCGATTAATTCGGATGCGTTAAATCAAATTATGACCAAATGAATCACTCAAAATGTCAACCAAAACGCCTACACAACGACGCTACACGTTGAGTCTCGTGCCACCAAAAAGAGTGAGACTTCCTCTTCGAAAACCTAAATCCAATTTCAAAAAAAAACACGACCTGCGCGCAATAACTTTTCCGTATGAAATTTAAAATAAGTAAAGAATTAAGAAAATGACATCTATTAAAGAGAAGGCGAAATATAAGAAAAGAATAGAAAGAAAAGAAAATTTATAATGATAATTCCGTACAAATGAAGGAATAATAGGAAGGGAAAAAAGGATCTCCAGATTCTGTCGCTTAAAAAAAAATTACAATATAAAAAAATTTACAAGTAACATAAATACAAAACATTGGAATAAATTAGACTGTAACACAATTAAAAACAGTTTATAGAAAAATCACTGAAACGGGTTTGTCTAAATGTTCTGAATACTGTCTTACCTTTTTTATATTCGAGACGCACACACTTTAACGAAAAAGAAGGATGAGATTAACACTGTTTTTATACAAAAGTGTATTGAGAATTCACTTTTACAGAGAATATTGGGAATAATTCTAAAATAGCAGTCTGTATTAAAAATCGATTATTTTTTTTAATCGATAGGAAATGACTCAAAAGAGGAGTTAATGATAAAAAAAAGTGCGCATTTATATCTAACCGTTTTAAACCATGCAGAATTATTATAATTTATGCTATTTGTGACTTGGCATTAGATAATGAGAGTATTGAATATTAACCATCGATTCAAAAAAAAATAAAGGAAATTTTAATTCAATAGAGGAAACATACAAGATGTTAAAAAACTATACATACATAGAGGATTTCCCAAAAGTCCCCAACTCTTTGAGTTCAAAATATTCCACCCATTTGTCAGACAAAACAAGGCTTGGAGTATTGTAGCGGTTTTTATTTTCATTTTCCGTAATTTCATTGTTTTCATAATTTAACACCATCTATGGTTGGTTTGACGTAAGATTCGATGCATTTTTAGTGATTTTTATTATGTTATGATTGATTGGGGTGGGGGGATTTATTTCCGTTTAGATATTGTTTTCGTGGTTATAGTCTCCGATATTTCTGGTGGTTTTTATGACCCTCAGAAACAGTAGTGGCAGTAAATATCACCCGGAAAAAGTACCTGGACATGATTTATGATAGGTCCTCCTAGGGAACTAGGTCCAGGGACGCACTTCTTTTTATTTTATTTTAAATTCAACAAAATAAAACAGAAATGTAGTAAAGAATATAAATTTACTTATACTTAAATGATTTTACAGAAAAAAAGCAAGTACTAATTTATAATATAAAAATTAAAACATATTTTTTATAATATCTTAGAATTAGTGTGAAGAGATAATAAATTTTATAATAATAATCATAAATTATTTAAGCAAATGTGCTTTTTAGATAGATTTAAATAAATTGTTGTATTTTTTTGTTATTGAAATTTTCGTTAATGTGGACCTGAACAACTCACGCCAGAGTTTGGGGTTCGTAAACTACCTGTATAGTCTTCCACACGGCGATCGGTTTTTATGACTCTGTCACTTTCCTACTGTAGTTGTAAAACTAACAAAGATAGGGTTGTAACAGGTAGTTCCCCATTGTAAAATGCTGGTATTCCTCACTCAGGGCGGCATTAAGGACCACACTTTACTGGCAAATTGTAGAAAAATAATAAGGTCATATATAAATACTCATTATTCTCTTATTTGTTGTGTTTCTAATATTAAGTAAATATTTTTTCTAAGAAATGTTTTGAGAAGGCATGCATTGTCTACTTACAAAAGAGGGCGGAGAATAATTAGATTCTTTAAAATTTTGTTATTCTATTATTTAGACATTCCTAAAAGTAATATTTTTTTCTAAGACTTTTATACTAGTTTTTATAATTAAATTTTAGTTGTTATAACTAAACTTTGGTTTTTAATTAAATTTTAGTTTAAAAAAATTTAAGTTCTACCCTGTAATTGTATGACTGTCATAAGTCTTTTCAGGTACTCGAGGGGGCAAAAATCACCCCGGCTTTTATTTATGACTGTCATAAAAACCGATCTGGATGTGGAGGAGTATATACAACCCCATCTTTGTTCGTTATATAACTGCAATTAAGTCATAAAAACCACCAGAAATATCGGAAACTATACAAGCGGTTTAACCAGTCGTCTTCGAACCGTTGTGTCTTTGGGTTCTGTTATGTTTGAGTAGAGAGAAATAAAACAAAGGGTTGACCTGGTGTCGTTATATTTTCTAACCAATACATTCGAGTCGATACATTCACTACGACAGGTAAAAACTAACTGGCTGTTTACTAAAACTAAAACTAACGTTTCGAAGTCTTTTTCTTCTCGCGCTTTCACGCACGCGCACCAAGTTCACGCAATACATTACACTCCTCCCTCCAAGGAAGATTCGCGCACCATCCGTAAATCAAAGTCTTTCAATCTGAGAGGAAGCTTCCTTATCCTGGAAGGTCTTGGCGTGGGTGTCTCAGCTACCTCGTCTTCTGTACTCCGTTGTGGCACATCTGCATCCTCGGAATCAGTCGGACTGTGTAAACTTCCATCTGCCTCAGGTTTCATCTCTTCTGATAGTTCTCTATCTCTTATTTGATCAGAGTGTCTCTTTAAGAGCTTACCTTCCGGAGTAAGTACTTTATAACTCAGTGGTCCCGTCGCTTCAGCTACGGTGGCAGGTTCCCACTTCTGTTGTGCTGTGTATGATCTTATAAAAATGGGATCATCGCTGTTGAAGCGTCTTGGGGCTGCTGTTGAGCACTGATCTTCTTGTTTTTCCTTCATTTTTTTGCTAAAATTCGGATGTACTCTATCCAGTAGACAAGTGAGTCTTCTTCCCATCAATAACTCCGATGGAGCTCTTCCTGTCGTTGTATGCGGGGTTATGTGTTGTGTCAAGAGGTATCTTGCCAACACTTTGTCTAGGCTATCTTCCGGCATCTTTTTCAAGGCCATTTTAAAATCTTGCACCATCCTTTCGGCTTGCCCATTACTGCTCGGATGATACGGAGCCACCTATCGACTATACCTACCAACTATCGATGTGAAAGCTGTACCATTGTCAGAGACGCAAACATCCGGGATACCATGTGTTGCAAATAGTTCGCGTAGAACCCTTATTGTTTCCGCAGTGGAAGGTCCTCCCACCTGTCTCACTTCCAACCACTTAGAGTAAGCGTCCACTATGATGAGGAAATATTTCCCCTTTACAGGTCCGGCGAAATCTAGATGCAGTCTTGACCATGGAGCTCTAGCCCACTCCCATGGATGTAAAGGCGCTTTAGGCGGAGCGTTTCTTGTTTGTTGGCACTCTTCGCAAGTGTTGACCAACCTTTCGATGTCGTCATCCAGCCCTGGCCACCAAACGTACGACCTCGCTAAAGCCTTCATTCGCACTATTCCGGGATGAGCTGTATGTAAGGTTACCCTTTTCCTCCCTCCGGTTGGAACAATTATTCTGGTTCCCCACAAAAGACAGTCGAGATAACAAGAAATTTCATGTTTTCTTTTTAAAAATGGCTGAAATTCATTACCGAAGTCTTTGTTATTTTTTGGCCATCCATTTCTTGCCCATTGGAGGATTCTGTTCAAAATTGCATCTTTGGTTGTTTCCTGTGCCACCTCGTCGGCAGTCAGGATCTGTTCTGGAGCACATTCTAGTACTAATACATCAGCGATATTTTCTTTTTCTCCGGACGTATCTTTTATGGGAAATCGGCTAAGCGCGTCCGCATGGCCAATCTTTTTCCCTGGTGTATAGGACAGATCATACGAATAAGCCGATAACATTATCACCCATCTGACAAAACGTGGTGATAACACTTCAGGAATAGCCTTATCCGCCCGAAGAATACCCAGTAACGGCTTATGATCGGTTTTTATACGAAAATGTCGACCATAAAGGTAATTGTGGAATTTTTTGACACGTACCACTATTGCTAGCGCCTCCTTGTCAATTTGCGCGTAATTGCGTTCAGCCGATGATAGGGTTCTGCTGTGGTACGCAACAGGTGCTTCGCGACCCGATGATTGCAATTGACTCAACACGCAACCCACCCCGTACGCACTTGCGTCACATGTCAAAATTAATGGATTGTTCTCATTATAGTGAACTAGAAGTGGTTCACTCGCGAGGATGTCTTTCAACTTTTTAAAAGCATTGTTTTGCTCGGCACCCCACTTAAAATCAACGTCTTTATGGAGTAATTTGTGTAGGGCTTCGGCTATTGAAGCTTTGTCTTTGATAAAACTGTGATAGAAGGTTACAAGACCTAGGAATGCTTGTAATTCTGTTTTGTTCGCAGGAGCCGGCGTATTCACGATAGCGTTTATTTTGTCTTTAGTGGGACGAACCCCGGCCGCACTTATGTGAAACCCCAGGAAATTTAAACATTCCGTACGGAAAACACACTTTCTCTTTTTTAATCGAAGTCCGTCTTCTTTAAATCGCAGAAGAACCGCACGCACCTTTGCTTCGAGATCTGTATCAGACTTTCCGACTATTAAGATATCGTCAAAATATGGAATCACGCCCGAAATTCCGCGCAATCTATTGTCAATAAATTGTTGGAACACTTGTGGAGCTATTGATACCCCGAATTGTAATTTCTTGCACCTAAACGCTCCTTTATAAGTTACAATTGTCTGTGCATCCGCGGCGTCGTTATCCACACTTAATTGTAAATAAGCGTGTGCCATGTCCAATTTAGCGAACACTTTCCCGCCGGATAACTCGGAAAGAATGTCTTGTACAACCGGTACTGGATAATTGTTTGTTGTTAACGCACGATTTATTGTACTCCTATAATCACCACAAATTCGGATTTCATGGTCGTTTTTTGATACAATAACTATTGGTGTTCCCCACTTCGGATGCGCCACCGGTTCCAAAACTCCCTGCTGCACTAGACGATCAAGTTCTTGGTCGACCTTATCGCGCAACGCGAACGGAACTTTTCTAGGTTTTAACACCGTTGGCTGTACGCTCGGATTCAAAACAAATGATACAGGAGGTCCACGATAAGTGCCTATTTTCTCGTCGAAGACTTCAGGAAATTCTTCCAGAAACGCACTTCCGACGCACGACCCCGAAATATGGTTAATTCCGCTAATGTTCAACCCAAGAGGCGCGAACCAATTTCTTCCCAGAAGATTAGCTCGATTAGACGCCACCACGATAACCGGCAATTTCGTTTTTATGTCTTTAAAGCGCACAGGTATTTCGCACTGTCCCAATATTACCACAACCCGACTTTGATAATCTCTTAACGTAATTTCTGGTTTTGTTAACTTTGGAGGATTGTTTCCGTACAATTGTTCGAAAGTGTTTTTACCGATAACTGTATACGCGGCCCCGCTGTCTATTTCCATAGTTCTTCTTTTTCCGTTCAAGGAAATCTCCACAACAAACTTTTCGTTTAATTTGTCGCTCGAGACGTTATTCAAGGGATACAGATAAGAATCTCCGTCTTCCTCTTTGTCTTCGGACGTTATTTGTATTACCTTATTTGCGTTTGACTCCGTTTTTTTCTTTTTAAAACAGGCTCGTTCGATGTGTCCTTTTTTCTCGCAATAACGGCATAAAGCGTTTTTATGCTTGCACGTGTCCGGCGAGTGTTTATCGTCGCATCGAAAACATTTTCTAGACCCTTTGATTTTCGATCCTTGTTTATTGTAGGGTTTCGACGAATTAATAGTGTTTACGTTCTTCGCGCCGTCTGTCTGTGTTTGTTTAAGAACGGCGATGCCTTCGGCTGCAACTTCGTGTGCGACGCTCATTTCTAGGGCCTTTTTGAACGTAATTTTTGATTCCGCCAACAGGCGCTTCTGAAGAGCTTCGTCGTTAACCCCGCACACGAGACGATCGCGCAACATCGTATCCAATGACGATCCAAACCCGCACTCTTCCGCTAACTTTCGCAGTTCTTTTACATAAACGGAAATTGTTTCACCCACCTGTTGATTTCTTCGGTAGAATTTAAAGCGAGCCACTATTTCAGACGTTCCAGGGGAAAAATGTTCTGACAATGTTTTAATTACGTTTTCGTACGACGCGTCGCTTACTTTTGCCGGGGAGATCAGCGAACGCAATATGTCGTACGTTGCTGCCCCGCAAATGCTTAAGAAAACAGCTTGCTTCCTGTCATCTTCTGTTATATTGTTCGCCTTTAAGAATAATCCTACTCTTTCCTTGTAAGCGTCCCACGCACCCGGATTATTTGGATTGAAATGCTCCACGTTTCCCAGAGTTGCCATGGTTGAAATTTTAAATCAACGTTGTTAATTTCGAAATCACATGGATCAATGCGATCCCATCCTCGTCGCCAAAATGTTATGTTTGAGTAGAGAGAAATAAAACAAAGGGTTGACCTGGTGTCGTTATATTTTCTAACCAATACATTCGAGTCGATACATTCACTACGACAGGTAAAAACTAACTGGCTGTTTACTAAAACTAAAACTAACGTTTCGAAGTCTTTTTCTTCTCGCGCTTTCACGCACGCGCACCAAGTTCACGCAATACATTACAGGTTCGATTGAGGAGGCGTCTGATTTTTAAATGGGCTGATACCACGTTTTTGAGATAAGAGTGTCTTAGAAGAGTTTTGCATTGGTGTTTTGGCAAGATCTTCGTTTGCGGATTTTCCGGATTGGCTCTTATACTCATTTATTTTGGCACCTGTTGGAGTGTTTCATCGGATAGTTTTTTCCGGATTTATTCGTGGTTTATTTCACCCATCACGTGAAGCCGTTATAGATCGTCAGGTAAAACGCTTTGTTATTTTCATAATTGGGGTTTTGCATTGTTTATTTTTGGGTTAAGGGTTTTTGTTCATTCATATTTCGGATTTTAATTTTTGTTTTCCCTTTAGGCTTTTTATTTTTGCGTCTTATTATAAATTTTACTAATATATATATATATATCTTCGAGCAAGAGGTTTTCCGTCGTAAAACATTGAATCCAATCTTGCGTCAACCAACCATCGTCTTCGTGGAGGTTTCGCCCTCGTGGTTTACATTTCCTGAGAGCAGCCATCTTAATTTCCGTTTTCTACGTCCGGTTCCTTCCGAAGAAAGAGAGAGGGATAGGAAGCTGCGCAAAGGGTCTACGCAAGTAAAACATAACCAAACATAACCTTTTGGACGTCGGACGCGTCTTGGCGGTCTTGGCGCAATTCAGGATTAGTATCTATAAGAGAAAGATTTAATTCTTCGTGTTTTTGATTTAATGATTAATTAATTAATTAATACTTTTTTTTGATTAAGTGTCTTCAACTCAATATATATATATATATATTTTTTTTTTGTTATTATCACCGATTTAAATTTATTAAGATATATACCTTTTTTTTTTGAAGTTTTGTTAACTTATCGCTTGGACGTTACGGGCTTGTTTACTTTTTTTTTTTTGACACTTATTTTGGGTGTCCCACAATTATATTTACATCAGCTGATGATAATTTATTGTGTACTAATTTTACTTTCTTTCAGGATTTTATTATTTGTATTTTATTTTTGGTTTCTCGAGTCAAATGCGATAAGGTTTTTAGAGATTAATTTCATATCCTTACTTTTCATTATTAAAGATCATTATTGATATAAGATTAGATATATTATATATATCTAATAATATTAGATTATTAATACAATTATTTTGATTAACAAAATTAGTCAATTTTTGAGGACATTTCAATATAGTTATTTGAATCTATTATCTCAACATTACTTTTTTTTTGTGTATGTTAGTACTTGTTTCTTTTCCTTTGACATTGGATTCGGACTTGCTGGGTCAAAGGTTTGTATTGATAGGTTTCGGTTTAAGTTCGTGGCGCCCTTATTTAGATCAGAACCCTCCCTTCTTCACTGAGTTACCGGAGCCCGATCCTATCAATTTGTGTCTTGTTTTGAATTTTCGGCGCTACAGTATATTGTTTCTTCCTTTTTCGTGTTTTCGGTTTATGGTGTGACCAAAAAATGACATCATTGAACACTGAGACAACAGACCGTTTAGACGTGGCAAGTATATTTGACGTTGATGATGTTGATGGATCAACACTTTCAACATTCTTGGGAGTTTAAAGTTTTGGGTGTTTACACCTCAGTGACGATATCATTAGAAGCTTCGAATGCTTGCATCACCTCTATTTCCGAAACTGGGTGATTTAGTATCGGGGGTAATGTTTCTTGAGGGAGTGCACGTACCTGAATGGGAGGGTCGAGCTACCTGTAGCCAAAAGTCAAATAACATCACAGTTTCAACAGTGCCATTCCAATCGTAGCTATCCTTTCTTGCATCTTTAAACTGTTGAAGAAGACCAGGATCAATTTTAGATTCAATGTATTTAAGAGAAGGTTTCACATCCTGACCATCAGTTATTGATTTAGATTAAATTTGATAATATCGCTGGAACATCTGCTTTTGAAATATCCTTTCCATCATGATCAATGCGCCATTTGCGAACGGTTACACAACGGAAACACAGCTATATCGAGTGGCTGTAAGACACCCTTAATCTGAGGTCCTTGAGGGCAGAACAGTCACACAAGATGTTATAAACAAGAGTTGTCAACACACTTTATGTTATAAAGGTGTTCATTTACCTTACAGTGACCTGTAACAAGTCCCGTAATAACCCGTAAGGCGCTTTTACCCAACCTTACAAATTTCTGTGCTGCGTCAGCTGAGGGATAAAATAATAACCGCTTAGCTAACTGGCACCCTTTAACTCTATCGCACCAGTCAAAGAACTCACTATGAGATACCATAGAAGGAACAACTGTCGGCAAAGGGGAACAGGCCACTTTCTCAGCAGCCCTTTTTGCCAGCCTATCGGCGTGCTTATTCCCCGAGTGAATCGAGTGTGCCTTTATCCACTGCAGTGTGACACTGTTTAGTGTTGCCGCCTCTTCAAGCGCCAAATGACAGTCCATAAGCAGCGCAGACGTAAATTTATCCTTGCTTAGAGCTAAAACAGATTGTCTACTGTCGGTAGAGATTGTAAAGGTCTGTAATTGGTGCTACGACAATGTCGTCAGCAGCAAATTTTAAAGCGACTAATTCCGCCTGCTTGGCGGTGATGCCTTCTCCAAGTGATATGAAGAGATGGAGCTGTAAGTTGTTAGAAAATACTCCCGCTCCTGCACCAGTCCGTCTACACGAACCATCAGTGTAGATTTTAAGGGTTTTATTTTCATCTACATCTGTGGAACCACAATGGATGAGGTATTTTCTTGAAAATGTGAATTTAGCCGGTATATAGTCCGTGCAACATTCCAATAGTGCTGCACTTCCTCCGGTTTCCTCTCCCTTGAAAAGTCCTACTTCCCGTAGTCGCAACAGGGTAATCAGCGCCACCTCCTGAATATGTAAGTGTAGAGGTGGCAAGTTTAACATGTTTTCCATGGCCGCAGTGGGGGTCGTCCTCATGACACCTGTAACATACATACACGCAAGTCTCTGTAATCTATTTAGTGCGGTAGTGGCGGTAACCTCTAAGGTTTTAGACCACCATACTACTGCACCATAAGTGAGCATAGGTCGTATCACAGCCATGTAGATCCAAAGGGCAAATTTGGGTGCCAAACCCCATGTCTTCCCAATCACCCTTCGGCACTAGCCAAAGATACAAAAAAGTGATACACAGATATTTAACCTCTTTAGACAAACTCAGTGGACATTTTCGGAACAAGGGCAATCGAAAATTACCAATTTTCACGATTCTTAAAACTACGGCCGATTTGACATTTGAAAATTTCGTTCTATTTTTGATATACAAATTAAGCAATTTTTTCCTTAATAATTTTTTTCTGTAAATTTCAATAGTACTATGCTATTGTTTTTATATCATATCGTAAACTAGAATCTTTAGTCTTCAATTTAACGTACATATCATGTGATAATATAAGTACGAAGGCTCTCACGGCCGGAGTTAATTGAACTAAAACTAGAACTAACACTAGAAACGTTCGGGTTTTGCCGTGCGTCTTTTAAGAAAAGGTTTGACGTTTCGGATGCCATTTGCAACCTTCTTTAGAAACTGGTTCGAATTGACGAAATCGAAAATCGGGAACAATATATAAATCGGAAAACTAATTAATAATCAACTAAAACTAATTATTAGTGGTGGGCATAATAGACATATATGAATAATCGATTATTAATCGATTATTTGATTATTAATCGATTATTTTACGATCGAATAAAATAATCAATTATAAAATAATCGAATGAAATAGTCGATTGTTTGTCCATTCGATTATTTTTTCAGTCGATTATTTTTTCATTCGATGATGAAAGTTCAAATAAAATTCTATCTAAAATATTTATAGTGGAAACCAAAACTATGGCTTCGATATGTGGATGACACGTTTTTCATATGGCAACATGGTCAAAAACGGCTCCAAGAGTTCTTTAAGTTTACCATAGAAACAGAAACTGCCAAAAAACTACCTTTCCTAGATGTGTTGATCACCAGGACGACAAATGGAGATATGGAACTTGGTGTATAACGGAAGAAGACCCATACCAACAGGTACTTGCAGGCATCATCACATCATCATCCCCAACAGAAGAGGTCCGTGATCCGCTCTTTATTTCAGCGAGCAGCGAGAATATGTGAAGGAGATAACTTGAGGAAGGAGCAACACTTTCTACGAGGCGTACTGCAGAAGAACGGATACACTTCGAGGGACATCAACCGTGCCATCAAGCAGCAAAAGCAGAGGGGGACAAAACCTCTTGGATTTATTTGTCTTCCCTATGTTTCAGGTGTAACTGAACGAATTGCCAGGCACCTCAAGAAGAACGACATCATAATGCGGTACGGGACGGTCAGCAAAATCCACGCTATCGGAACACACTCCCGATAGCCAAGGACAAACTAACTCCATTAAAAGGAGCGGAAGTCTACCGACTATCGTGTAGTTGTGGGAAGCTTTACGTTGGCCAAACTGGACGTAACGTCGAGTGCCGCATCCAGGAGAATGAAAGGGATGTAAGGTTGAAGAAGATCCAGCAGTCGGCGGTGGTGGAACATTGCCTTGCAGAGGGACACCGAATAGACTTCGACCAAGCAAAGGTGCTGGCTAGGGACAACAGATATCACCAGCGACTGACAAGAGAAGCCATAGAGATCCACCGACATAGAAATAACGTCAACAGAGAGGATGGCTGGGAGCTTAGCAGAACATAGAAGATGGTGGTGAACACGAAGACCTTCTCCCGCCTCACACCGGACGCGACTCAATTAGTTAATAATTAGCTTTAATTGATTACACTAGTCTACAAAAAAAAATCATAAAATGTACATTTGACGCCACTGTATTTTTCTTATGTAGTTTGGTCCCCTAAATCCAAAAATCACATTTAAAAGTTTTTCTATGGATACGTTTTGGAGCTACGATTTTTTTTGCAGCATATCTGGAGTTAGAGATGACCGATCTGGTCGTGCTATTTATGAAATTAACGAGTGTTGTATAGCCAATAAATGGTATTAATACTTATTCCAATCGGTTCGGTAGTTTTAAAACAGCTTTTTCTTGTACATGAAATTCCGCGCAACTAGACCGTTAGAAATTTTTAGGTTTCATGTTTCGTACGTTTCTGAGATTTTACGTGTAGGAGCTATTCATCCCAATCTTTCGATTTAAAATAATTTCAAGATGGCTGCCACATCCAGTTATTTTAAACGGAATGCTGCAATTTTTGTTGGATATTATTTAAATCACAATACAAAATTAGCTCAAACGCCTTGGAGAGCCGCAAAAATTCCGTCTTATTTTTTGCATAGGGTTTGTACTTTTACAATAGGAATATGCCCAGGGTTTTCCTGTTTCTATATTTTTCGGTATTCCTAACGTATATTGCCGTTTTACTCAGTGAATTAAGTTTAATTAAAATAAATACATTTCCTGTGGACAAATGAAAAGGTTTTTTCCCGGAATGTTAAGAAAAAAGTGAGCATCATAAAAACCCCCACTGTACCGTAAGGGAAGGTTTCGTGGAGTTCTCATTCAAGTTCCATATTCAACGTTAAACAGTTGTTCACAAATTGTATCTTGTAATATAGTTTAATTAATAAAGAAAAACATGCGTAAATTTATTAATTCGGTACAAGAAAATTATCTCCAATATTTTGGAATAGCAGCTGAGAATCTTCAAGAACAATGCACACCAAGTTTTTTATGTCTTAATTGCCGTATAAATCTTAGTGGATGGGCTTCCGGCGCGCCAGGGTATGTATTTCATGTTAAAAATACTTTATAGTTTATAACCTTTTTTAACATTAGGCGGTACATGAAATTTACGTACCAATGATTTGGTGAGAACCACTTTGTCATAGAACCGACTGCTACTTTTGCCTAAGTAAACAAACCGGAATAAGAAAAAATATGCGATGGGTTTATGCAAATGTACCATCTGTCACGTTTCCAGTTCCGCATTCAGATACACTTCCCACCCCAACTGCCCTGATTTATCCTAGTCCTAGGTAGTCATTTTTCACGGAGTGTATAATAATAACCAGACTAATAATAATTATTTAAAATGTTAAAAGTTCAAAAAACGTCGATTTAATTCAATTTTTTAGGAGTTTCTAAATGTTTGACATTAAAAAAACGTAAACAAATTCCTTTTTCGTATGATTTAAGCATAAATTAATTAATTTTCGTAAAGAAAACGACGTTTTATAAAACTGACATTTAATTTTGACATATTGTTGTGAAGTTGATTACCGTTAGTAACATTGAATTTATGTCACATTGACGTTTAACCTTTATTCAAAAATTTATTTAAAAATAGTATATTATTATATGAGCATATAATGAGGGCTATTATTCACGAAGGTTAAGTTAATTAACCTGAGTGAATAATAGCTCATTATATGCGAGTGGAATACTATACTTTGTCCACGACTATTGAAATTGATTCCATAAATTTATTTTTTAAATAAATTTTTGAATAAAGGTTAAACGTCAATGTGACACAAATTCAATGTTACTAACGGTAATCAACTTCACAACAATATGTCAAAATTAAATGTCAGTTTTATAAAACGTCGTTTTATAAACGTTTTATAAACGACGTTTTATATCTATATAATATATATATATATATATAGCTATCGTTACATTATGAATAAAATGAAACTCACGTCAATAAACATATTTTTAAAAAACATATTTGTTTGTTATTTAAGCTGTTATCTTCTTAATCTTAATTACTTAATTCTTCTCCTCATCGTTACCCTGTTATTAATTCAATAATATTCAATAAGCTTTCCTTGCAACACTATGCGCCATGTGTTTCTTTTCGTTTATTTTTGAGGTTAGGTGTGTGTAGTGAAGTTAGCTGCCTGTATACATCTTAAATTTAAATTAATTTGTGAAATGTTAACAAAAAACAATTTAATCTGTATTATCGTCAGTGTTTAAAATTATCTTATTAGTACCAGGTTCTGTGACTTTGTTATGTCTTAATTGTTTGTGGTATTGTAAGGTTTGTCAACGTGTGGAAAATGGATCCGGTAGGAAAGGTGTAGATTTTAAGGTGACGAAGGGATTTTTGGTTGCCATGGGACCCAAAGTGTTGCGATGTTCCTATTGCAACCTTATAGGACATCCTCGTTTACTTGGGGGGTTTTAAAGGGGTGGGATTGTTAAGCGTCTGTATGGTACTTATTAAATTTCCTTGCTGTTTGTTGCTTGTTTTTCTGGGGTTAGCTCTGTATGAGTATTTTAATTTTAATTATGTTATTTTTATCTTGTTTGTATGACCGTAATAATATCTTGTGATAAAATGAGGTTTTTTCAAAAAATGGAACTGGAAAAAGGAATAGTATAGGATATGTGTGGATTGTAGTGTTATTGGAAGGAAATTTTCTTAAAAGACGCACGGCAAAACCCGAAAGTTTCTAGTTTTAGTTCATATCATGTGATAATTCTTAAAAAGACAATTGATATAATTTTTTAAATATTCCGTATTAGTTTTGATAATTCCTTCTTTAATATTTTTTTCATGGAAATTTCAATTATATTATCATATAGCTCATATCAACTTTTAAGAACCAATTTGACATACAAATCATGAGATGATTCCTACAAATACAGTTGATATGATTTGTTGAAAATTTCGTATTCACGGTATGCTTTCGAATCAACTTAAAAAAAAAACATGCAGCGTAAAATTCGAACTTTTTTATTATTTTTAAACGTTTTATATGTTATTTAGAACCAATAACTAAGACATACATAACAACCTTTTAACACCATGTACAATAAATAGAATTTAACGAAGAGATTCAGAAAATAAAATCTGGAAAAAGCAAATTGATTAATAAATCGTCAAATTAAATTTGTTAACAATTTTACATTGTGTCCCGGAATCGGTACAACTCAATGTTCTTGCCATCGTCCTTTACTAAGTATTTCTTAGCTGTTCTGTAACTTTCTACAGCGTATTTTTTTAGATCAGCATCTTTGGTTATTATACCGTAAAATATTTCCTTATCAGCTTTATCTAGTTTTTCTTCTAGTTTAATGCAATTGCTATTATCAAATGTCCATTTTCTCACTGTAAAGTGCCTCACAATTTCAAACGATAAAATTAGACGTTTTTGAATGGAAATCAAGCTAAATTAGAACAGGTTGTTAATAATTTAAGAACAACCACATCATATTTAATACATACAAAGGTTTCTGTAGGAACATGATTAATAGAAAGTCGACCAACAACGCCGGAATTAGTTGAAAGAAAAAAGAAGCAATCATGAATACAAAATAAGATTTTGTTAGGTACACTTCGCAATACCAAAGACTATGTTTGAATGGTTCTTTATACGTAACTTCCAGAAATGAATCCAGTATATAACGCCAAGTATAAGGAAATCTGTTAGTTATGTTTATTGTAGGCGTTGTTAAATAACTGAAACACGTGAAAGAAATTTTAAATTTATCACATAATTACAGAAATATTTACTTGGTCTTTGCTCTTTCGTATCCACAACATATTACGCTATTTATAGCGAAATCCACCGGAATGACTTCCGGTATAGCTTCGCCATCCAACAAACATGATTTCAAAATTCCTATTCCACCCGCTAGAAATATTCCAATGGGACCGTAAAAATTATCCACCCAACCAGGCGTTGGTTCAGACAAAGAAGGGACAACTAAAAATAAACGATGTATTTTTTTCTTCTCTAATAATATCAAACGCACCAATAGATGGTCTCGTTATTATTAATGGTAGTTTATCACCCATATCAACGGCGATTATTTCAGCAAGTCGTTTAGTGAACGTATAAGTATTTGGATGAGGACCTAATAACCTTTTAGTAATAGCATTTAAGCACTTTTCATCCATCCACTCCACCATATCGACAATCTTGTATGGATCAACGTCAATGGGGTACACTTTCTCCTCCATATTCTCAATTTCAACGTTGCAATAAGCCGTGGATAAATGAACAACCGACTACAGGAAGTTTTTTTTTAACAATTTAACATAAAAAACATTTTAAACATACTTGCAAATTTTTCAAGTTCATACAAAATTTAAACAACTCATAAGTTGATTTAGTATTTGTAATAACAGCTTCTTTTAATGAAAGGTCCATTCGAACGGAAGCGGCGAAGTGAAACACAACGGATACTTCATCAATTAATTTTTCCCTATCATTTATGGACATATCAAAACCTTCTTTGGTTATATCGCCGCAAATCGCTTCAATTTTTTCCTTGACTTTTGCATTTAAATTATTAAAGGTGAATATCTTTTTTGAGAAAATTTGATTTATTTGTTGAAAATATGAAATTTTTTTTAAAATACTTACGGGGCTCTCCGCTAATTGTTTAACTCTTAGTTCGGGGTTGTATCCTTTTTTTGGTCGCAATAAAATGTAGATTTTCTTAATATCGGGTACACTTCTGATTAACTTTTCTAAAAGAACTTTTCCCATAAAACCCGTTGCTCCCGTTACAAATACGGTTTTTCCAGTGTAAAATTCAACAATTTGACTTTTCATTTTTTATATATTTCGGTATTCAGATAGAAAGTAAATTTCTTAATAAAAATTTCCCAGGAAATAGCCCGCATTTATATCTAACCGTTTTAAACCATGCAGAATTATTATAATTTATGATATTTGTGACTTAGCATTAAATAATGAGAGAATTGAAATTTTAATTCAATAGAGGAAACGTACAGGATGTTAAAAAAAATTATACATACTGTGGCACTTCTTTTTAAACAAGCAAAAGGGCAAACAAAACACCAGACGATGTCAAGGTTACGTAAAGGTTTACTTACCTCAGCCAGCCTTTAGACAGTGGAGACGGCGTGGATTTAAAGTAATATTCAAAGATGTTAATGGGCGCCACGGACTTATATAAAACCTTTACGAACGTACTTGACCACACCCTAATCAAGTCCGAACTTAGAGTTACAGAAAGGAATGAGAACAAATAACCAACTACCACATTTGAAACTGAAGAAAGAATATCTATATTATATGTAATCGTAGAAAAATATTCATGTATACACATGTAAATATACGTGGGTATATAAAAAATATGTAATGACAAATGGAACAAAGTTCCCAAATTATAAGAATAAAGTTTATACAACTTAATCAAAATGTTGCTGTAATCGCATACAAAAAAAGAAAATATAGCACCCCCCCTGTATCGTAAGTTACACAATTACGATTCTAACTTTATTTAGAATAAATGAGCAAAAAAACATTATCGCGAAAACTTTTCATATTGGCCAATTTGAACAGTAAGGGGATAGCAAAAATAAACGATAAAAAAGAATTATAACCCCAAATGCAATTACCCTTACAAAAATGTAAATAATTAAAAAAATAATACTTTGAATTGTCAAGACAACAAAAAAAGTTAACAATTAATATATATCAGATTTTAGAAGTTGAGTAATTCTAACTTCTCTGATCAAAATTCAGATTTTATACAAAAAAATAATAAAGTTGATATTCACATAAAACAAAAAAATACAACTTAGCCTTAATCTTCTACGGGCCCAAACAGCATCCCACGGTTCCAATTCCAATCCAATTCAGAATAATCTTCTCCAAACAGATAACAAAGGTACCAAAATATTGAGGTTATGGATGACCCAAATCTGTCATCAACAGATTTCAAATGACTTTCAAACGACTTTCGATGGCGCAGTTTCAAGATGACGTTCTAAAAATTCTTCCACTAAAATTCTTTACCAAGGGGAAGATGATCTCGTCGATTGGTGGGTTGATAATCGTTCAACACGATTAAGACATTCCACGGAGGACCAAAACTACCGTAAACGCCTCCAATAAAATAACCTTCGTTGAAACGATGATGGCGTCGCTGTTAACGTACGTGATCCAGTTTTATATCCGCAATTGCGACGTCGAAATTTATCGACTAATAATAGATACGGAAGTCCACAAATCCCATCAAATGGTCGAAGAACAATCCCAGTAACAACCAAACTCAATGATTGATTCTTCAAAAGGACTAAACCATTCTAAAATTTAACTGAACCACTAACGACAGTGAGACAAGATCTTCTCTAGACCACGACCTTTTCTCGTCTCTCCCAGATCGCGACCGGAAATTTAACGTTCCGCATTCATCCGACCAATCAAAAAGAAGCACGGAACAACTCCACTAGAAAAGCGCGAACTATTAGAATATGAATACGAAAAATAACGATTTAAAGAACGAAATCTAAGAAATTCAATAACCTCAAACGGAACCGTTACAATACATACAGGATTTCCCAAAAGTGAGAATGAGAGTCACAGTGAAAGAAAAACAAAAATTGTTAACAATAAAATTTGTAACAAAAATTGTTAACAATAAAATTTCTAACAATTTTTATTATAAAAGTTTTCTTATAGCATGCTCCGATTCCCAAGTGTTACCTTTAATAACTTGAAAGAGCAACAAATTCATCAAGTTTTCATATTTTCATACTTATCTCAATATTGACGCATTTAAGAGCAAAAGTGCAAGAGAGCAATATTGTTAACAATAAAATTTGCAACAACTTTTCTTATAAAAGTCTTCTTATAGCAAGCTTCGACTCCCAAGTGTTACCTTTAATAACTTGAAAGAGCAACAAATTCATCAAGTTTTCATATTTTCATACTTATCTCAATATTGACGCATTTAAGAGCAAAAGTGCAAGAGAGCAATATTGTTAACAATAAAATTTGCAACAACTTTTCTTATAAAAGTCTTCTTATAGCAAGCTTCGACTCTCAAGTGTTACCTTTAATAACTTGAAAGAGCAACAAATTCATAAAATTTTCATATTTTCGTATGTATCTCGATATTGACGTATCTAACAGCAAAAAAGCAAGAGAGCAATATTGTTAACAATAAAATTTGCAACAATTTTTGTTATAAAAATCTTGTTATAGAAAGCTCCGATTCTCAAGTGTTACCTTTAATAACTTGAAAAACCGACAAATTCATAAAATTTTCATATTTCCGTATTTATCTCGCTATTGACGTATCTAAGAGTAAAAGTGCAAGAGAGCAATATTGTTAACAATAAAATTGGCAACAATTTTTGTTATAAAAGTTTTCTTATAGCATGCTCTGATTCCCAAGTATTACCTTTAATAACTTGAAAGAGCAACAAATTCATCAAATTTTCATATTTTCGTATCTATCTCGATATTGACGTATCTACAAGAAAAAGTGCAAGAGATCAATATTGTTAACAATAAAATTTGTAACAATTTTTGTTATAAAAGTTTTCTTATAGCATACTCCGATTCTGAAGCGTTACCTTTAATAACTTGAAAGAGCAACAAATTCATAAAATTTTCATATTTTCGTATCTACCTCGATATTGACGTATCTAAGAGCAACAGTGCAACAGAGCAATATTGTTAACAATAGCATTTGCTACAACTTTTGTGCTAAAAGTTTTTCTGTAACATGCTGCGATTCCTAAGTGTTACCTTTAATAACTAGAAAGTCTTAATAAAAGTTTTCTTATAGCATGCTCCGATTCTGAAGTGTTACCTTTAATAGCTGGAAAGAGCAACAAATTCATCAGATTTTCATATTTTCGTATCTATCTTCGATATTGATACATCTACGAGCAAAAGTGCAAGAGAGCAATTTCATAATAATAAAATTTACTACAACTTTTATTGTAAAACTGTTTTCGTAACACGCTTCGATTCCTAAGCGATATCCTTAATAACTTGAAAAAGCAATAAATTCATCAAATTCTCATATTTTCGTATGTATCTCAATATTGACGCATCTAAGAGTAAAAGTGCAAGAGAGCAAGATATGGGACATTCTGTATATAGTACTATAGCTATGTGCGTTCTAAATCGAAATCCCATAAGATTTATAACATTGGGGTCGAAAAGTACTTTTTATCCCCACCATTACCTCCTTTCGAGGTTCTGGTCACGCCCACATTTTAAATTCAACCAATCAGAGCGCAGCATTCTCCAAGAACCCTCTTTTTGGCGGGAAATTTGAATGAGGCTATCTAGATCGACGGGCCTTATCACGATGACGTCATCATCGACACATCGAGGCCTGACACAAAGCGTTTGGTTTGGCTTACCGGCTGACTGCTATGGTGCGGGGTGCGGGCGGGCAGGGTAGGGTGGCTCAATCAGAGCATAGCATTTCCGAGAACCCTCTTTTAGGCTGGGGATTGAATGAGGCTACCGGATTATCACGATGACGTCATCGTCGATATATCGAAGCCTTGACACATCCGGACACAAAGCGTTTGGCTTGGAGGTTATAAAATGGTAAATATCTCGTTAACGATGCTTCAAATCGAAAAATAAACCAAAAAATTTCCCCCTACAACCCCCTGTCGCCTATAACAAGCACGAACTAAGCTATACGAATTCAGGCAGCTAGCCCGAAATTGCTCGAATACGTCTGCTAATAACAAAATATCTGTTTTCAAATATAACTCACTGTAATTTCCTAAATTTTGACAGCCAAAAGCGTTCCACACTTCATTAGAATGCGCATAATCAGTATCTGTAATGTGACTGTCGGTCATAGAGTTATAAAATTTAGAGAAAGATAAGATTATAAACTATAAACATAATTGATTGGTTAAAACCTTTGAGAGGTGTTTTATAAGCTACGAATTATAATTATAAGGTTTCTTTTGGTTCTAATGATAACCTTATAGTTATTATAAATCATTCAATTTATATAATTGAACTTAGGAGTATGTCGATACGTCACGAATGGGATTTTGAAGCAATTGGTTTGGAATTTAACAATCATACTAATATTACAGGAGTTGTGACAAGTAATTACGGATCACCTTTTATATTCTTCGATGGTGTCTATGCTGTTCAAGTGGATTATCAATATGTTAAAACACGACAACTTATAACGTCAGTTGCTGATGAGTTTCCAGGGATACCGAGTCATTTTGATGGTGTTTATAAATCTTCAGATGGTTTATTGAATTTTTTTGTTGGTAATAAAATAGTTCGATATAATGAATATTTAAGAGAGACTGTGGATACCGTAGATAAAAGTCTATCAATATTAGGTATATCTTGTCCCTATACATCTATAATAGATCAACTAAAATTTCTATTATCAAAAATAAGTTCATCATCTAAAATATCTGTACCTTTTTAAAGTTGTAAAACCCCCATTCTTATTTAATATTAGATATAGGGTACATGTTTATGTGTAAATTTCGTTTTAACTAGTATATAACATCCTCTGAAACATAAGTGTCGACGGTGTAAGTTTAATTTTTGGGGATTAATTGACAAACTGTGAATACAATTCAAAGAGGATCTAAAAAAAGAAATTAAACTTATTGATGAAAGTGTATTTTCTGTAGGTGAATTTAACATTAAAGTTGGTATTAGTGTTGTTAGAGGTTTTATACCATGTGTAGAGTTAATTTTTAAATCGTGTAATGATGAGTTAAACAAAATTTGTCTTCACCATGAAGATTGGGAACATTTAATTTATATATTCAAACAATTTTACTTCGACAAGGAGG